TTTTTTTTTTTTGAAAGAAAAACAGTTGTCATTACATGAAAGGTTGGTTATAATAGCCGGTTATTATATAAAAAAATGAGTTACACTGTAATAATATGTGAAATGACTGGCTATATTATGATTGAGAAGGTGAAGAAGTCAAGAGATTTTCATCAGAAGCGTAGCCGTACAGAGCCGGCAGAAGCTTGAGAAGCAGTGACGTGGACGTGGTGATACCCACATGGTCCGAAGAGTTCGGTTACGTAACCTGAGGTGATGTTGTGGCCGTATAGTTGTCGCGTGCGTGTGTGTATGTGGAAGTGCACAACCCCACAGCCTATATGTGTCAATCACCGGCGAACGAACGTTCAGAGAAAGCGGTCAATGTGGAGTGCGCAGTGACCGCAATTGCATCTCCTCGTCATTCGCGCCCATTGCGTCGTGGTGGCCACGGTGGTGGTGGTGGTGGTGGCGGTTGTGGTGGAACACCGGCGGTACGTGTTTACCCCAATCTGCACCCCACCATCACCCTGAATCTCTGTGTCTTTTCTCGATTTAGCTCAGCGCACGTCAGATACCGCTCACAAGGGCTATCCGTTCACAGACATAATCGTCTCTCCAATCCACCTCCACGACATGTTCGGTATCTATCGTACACAGCAAACAAGTGAATTAGGGCTATTTCAGGGCCAACCAAGGAGACCGATAATTGGGGCACAGCAAACGAAGAGGGAAAAACTGTCATAATAGCTTTAACCCGGATCCTGTCTTGAAGTGGACCGGTGAAAGTTGTTTTTTTCGGGCTCGCAAAAAAAATTTCAAGTGGAAAATTTGAGCAAATTAGTGCGACTCGCTAGATTTCACCCTAATTCGCTCTGGCCAGGTGGCATTGTAGGAAAGATCGCTCTCAGCGTGAAAGGAGATATTGACAGTTCGGCCTCCTTCGGATATATATGCTACCCATTTGCAGTGCCCAGGTATGGGCATCAAGCTTTTCAGTACTGAGTGGCTGTTCCCTAAAACATCCATTACTTTGACTGAGGAGCAGGGACGGGTGTATGGCGTACTCCAAGGAGTTCATAGAATCATACGGGCTCGAGTAATCCACATCTCTCTGCAGCACAGGCACAAAAGTCATGGAAAACCAAAGGCCAAGGAGCCCCGAGGGAATAGCCATGGACGAGACAGTCAATTGATCGTCCTTATTGATCGGATCCCATAAAAGGAATAAATTTGAGGAGACAATTAACTCATTGACTTCGTTGATCTGTTCCCATATTGGGAATGGCGATGAAGGAAATAATCGATTATTGATCGAACTTCACAGAAAATCGCTATGAAAGAGATAGCTAATCAATCAATTTCATTTGAGTCTGTCGTGATTCAAACGATAAAACCAATGGACCCGAATTCTTCGAGTAAAAAATGAGCAGCAAAGGTAAAGGGTAGTAAGGTTATAATCCACTGAAGGGGGATTGGCTTAGCCGTGCGAGGCTCTGCCGTTATAGCCGTACGAACGAGGTCAGAGAAGCCCGTAATGGTGAGCATAGAAACGGGCAAACGACCACAAAGGATCATTAAATAGCGGCCATCAATAACCGTTACTGTCTGACTGGTTGACAAAATGAGAACGATCCGCTGACATCTGACCGCTGCCGGTCAGACATGTCCAGCTAGCGGATTGACATCCCCCTTTCCTGATTTGAATACCTCTCCCAAGCGCCTCATAGGGTTAATCCAACCGAATCCCATTCCCAGTTGAATGACTTACATCTGAGCTTTATTAAAAACACCACAAACTGGTATCCTATGGATCTTCTC